GGGGTGGAAGAAATCAGTAAATTTTAGACAGGAGGGTTGTAGCGAGCAAAGTAAGAATTGGGACTTTTCTTTCATTCCGTGTTTCTCATTGCAGTTTTTTCTCTTTCTCCCCATTAATTCTCCTTCTGTTACCCTTTACTCTATGGCTGATTCCCCCTCCCGCAACACCAAGACCTCCCACAAACCTGCTGCCTCTGTGCGGTTTCCTGAGTGAGCCTCCTGCCCTGCCTCCTGCCTGCTTCTGCCCGAATTTCAATAGGAGGACGAGTGGCCTCAGAGAGACGTGGGGGTTTATGTGGCCCTTAATGATCCTTGACAGGAGTCATTTGGATATACGTCCAAATACAGAGGACTTGGGCTGCATCTAGAGCTGCTTTTGTTGTAATTAAAGCCTGATCCCACTAGTGGGAAACAAAATACTTATGCAAAAGAGGGGAGCAGAGAGTGGCAGGGATGGGCGACGCAGCTCCTTGCTCTGTTACTCGTTCCCGCTCGCAGCTTTGCTCTAGGTTAAACGCAGCACCCTCCGGTTAGGCAGTCCCAGCAGTGCTGCTCAGGAGGACTCTGAGCCTTCATCAGCTCAGGGGGACTCTGATTAAAGCAATAAAAGACAGCAAGGAAACAGCGAGGAGGGCTGAGGAGAGTGGGCCCACCTCCCATGCCAGCACGGATCAGGGTTTAGCTGAGCTCCAGGGAGCTCGTTTCGTTCCTCCCTTGGCCGCAGCAAACCAGGCATTTTAATATCAGGATTGTAGCAGCCTTCAGGAGCGAGGGGCACTGGTGTGTGCGCAGGAGCTGCCCCTGTGTCCCGCACCGAGGAGTTGCAGGCAGCCGGCCCCCAAATGTCAGTATCCTCTGCCGGGACCGCGTGGGCATCTTCCGCATGACCAATTTTCTCTGATTGCGGGAGTGGGCACTGACGGCTCTTGAGCAGCCTTCTGTTGTTCTCGAGAAATTAATAATATGTTAAAACATTACTCAGCACTTACACGCTTGGTGAATACCAATTAAGCCTCAAAATCGGCTGGAGGCACCAGCATTGCTTCCTTGCCGGATACAGCATTGCTTCTTTGCCGGATAGAAAAAGGGAGGCCGAGACGGCACCAGCTGTTGCAAAGGCTGCGGAGCGCAGGCAGGGTTTGTGGGGGATCAGCTGCAATCCCCGCCGAACGCCCAGCCGACCTGCCGCTCGCACCGGGATGCCTCCATCCGAGGACTCCCAGCCACTGTATCGCATGTAAATGTATATAGTGGAGCCACGTGTCCATAACAGGTAGTTTTAGCCTTTCTTCAGTGGTCCGATGTGCTGCTTGTCCTGTGGTGCTAAAACAACAAGTGCATTGGCAATCACTGTTTTCTGCTCCCCTATTCAGGCTAGTTTTGCCCCTGCAGGCCATGGCCATACAAAGTGACTCAGGAGGGGCCTGCTTCTGATTTCTGAGAGGAGCCTCCCACCCTCTACGTGACCCCTAGGCAGAAGGAGGCTCTGGCTAATTCAAAATTAATTTTTTAAAAGTGCTTATTCGCCTGCCTGTCCATCCGTCCATCCATCCATCCATCCACCCACCTGTAAATCTCTCTCTCCCTTGCTATTTCTTCCATGTCATCCCCATATTGGTGGGGCTTTTGGGGCCAAGACTTTGTTTCTGTGTTTGCCAGACTAGGTAGCACTGTGGTTTTCAGCTTGCAGCTCACTGATTGTCCCCGAGGGTCCCGGGGGTGGGAGAGGGGTAACCCTGGCCAGCCACATTCCGCACCCTGTACATGTCTCAGCTGAGAAGATGCTGTAAGAGAGAGGAAAAGCACCCCTTGTCCAGCCATGGAGGGCTGCTCTGAGCATGGATTTAATAAGGAAATAACTCTGGACTTAAAAATAAGGTTTTAAAGCAGCTTCCCATAGCAGCTGTGAAGGAGAACAAAAAAAAGCTTAATGTCTTTTAAGGTGGAGTTCAAGCACTTTATGAGCTGGATCATGCAACCTGGTTGCCTACACTGCTGCAGAGGCTGGATGGGATGACCTGGAAGGTACTCTCCTTTCCTAATCTCAAATGTTTCCTTGTAAGAACAGTTGTGACAAAGACAAACAACTTTTTTTTATTTTCTGTAAACAGAATAAAATGGAGAGAGCCCTGAGCTTTCTCTTTGCATTTCATACAGCCTCTTCCTGCAAGAACAAATGGGATGAACAAACACAAGTGCCACTGACAAGAAGATATTTAATAGCCATGATGTGGGGAGCTTTCCAGCAAAAGAAAGACTGTTTTATGCAGAAATAGCTGAATGCAGCCTGCAAAGGCCCAGCAATTAATCACGCATTTGAAGAAATACAACACAGTCATAGAGGCTGAATTTTAAATGCTCACTGCTCCAGTTTGGACAGTGACAAATTAAGGCCCATACAAAAGCAGGTGTGGCTCTTGAAGAAGCCCTCTGAGGGCAATTAAAAATGGGAAAACAGCTGGTAAGTGTGCAGATGTGACAGCTAGAGCAGGTTAAGAAATTAATACAAAGGCGGAAGATGGTGGAATTAATGGTGTAGGAGCTGAGGCGAATGAAACAGGACCTGCTCTCTGAAGGGGCTTGCTCCGTGGTGGGTGAAGTACCTCATCGTGTGGGATGGGCAAAGCTGTGACATCCATGCGTCCTTGGTGCCCTGGAGAGCTGCCCTGCGCCTGCCACAGGTGGGCTCCAAACGAAGCCCCCACTGAAGGACCCCACAAACCACAGGAGCTGCTGCCCCGCA